AGTGCATAATTGCGTCAGACATGCCATGAGCTTTTTATCACATATAGAAAATGTTATTTTAAAAATTTATGCTCATTTTTCACATTCTGCTGTAAGAAGAGAGGAGCTAAAAAAATTTGTAGCATCAGTAGATGGAGACTTTCACGAAATCAAACGCCATGTGGGAACAAGATGGCTCTCTCTTTTGCCATGTATTGATACTTTATTATTAAATTGGTCACCTATAAGAAGCTACTTTTTAGGTTTAGACTACTGTCCAATGGTTTTACAAAATTTATTGATGCTCAATGAAACTGAGAATGATGTGATTGAAATTTATTTGCATTTTTGTAGTCACTTATTAAATTTATTTAATAAGGCTGTTAAATGTCTAAAAGGCAACAGCATAACAATTTTAGACATTTATGGGATTATGGATAATCTTAGAAACGGATTAACACAAAGAAAACAAGATCTTTTCTTTGGCTATGAAACAGGCAAAAAAATTAAACTGACTTCACCGGAACTGACTAGAAAAATTCACACGAATTTTTTATTATTTGTTGACAAAGCCTTAGAGTATCTGAATAAATGGTTTGATTTCAATAACACAAACTGGTTATTTACACTTGGATATATAAATTTAAAGAGCAAAATTGAATTTAATAATATTGTTAACATAATTGAAAATTTAAATCTTCAAAAACTTAATGTAGATATGGATGATCTATATGGAGAAATTGCTTTACTAAACCAAGTTTATAATCAGATAAGTACTTCTAAGAGTTTTGCAGAACTATCTACTGCACAAAAATGGCAGCAAGTATTTAAGAGTGATGATAATTTTTTAAACTTGTATAAAGTAATTTCATTTTTATTGTCTATTCCCGCCACGTCAGCATTCACAGAAAGAGTTTTTTCTGTGATGAACAGCAAATGGCGAGACGAAAGAAACAAAGCGTCTCTAAATTTGATAAAAAATGAATTACTTATTTACTTTAATTTAAATTTAGATTGTAAAAATGCTGTGCAATTTTTTAGTGAAGATAGTAATTTGATACAAACTGCAAAAAGCAATAAAAAATATGTTTTTAAATATAATAATAAAGAAAAATAAATTGTACTTTGTTTTGAATCTATGTACTTTTTTTTTTCCTACCTTTAATAACCAATGTACTTTAATTGCAAAAAAAAAAGGTGGCAACCCTAGTTATGATGGTCTTTCAACGAAAGTCGTAAAAGCTGTTGCTGGAGAAATCTGTACACATTTGAGTTATATTTTAAATCTAAGCATCGATACTGATATTTTTCCAGAGGCACTGAAAATATCGATTGTAAAGCCGTTATTTAAAAAAGAAGATAAGCAACTTATGCAATGCTACCGACCTATCTCTCTCATAAGTATTATCTCTAAAATATTTGAGAAACATATATATATAAACAATTATACACTTATCTTGAGAAGAATAATGTACTAACTCAAGAACAGAAAGGCTTTCGTAATAATAAAACAATAAATATGGCTATTTATGACTTCTTGTATAAAGTCATGATAAATGTAAACAAAAACATTCCCGTTAGCACCATATTTTGTGATATGACGCAGGCGTTTGACTACGTCTCTCATAACATTTTGATTAGGAAGTTAGAAGTTTATGGTATCCGAGGTAACGTTTCGCGTCTCATAGAATCATATTTTACGAATAGAAAGCAATATACAGAAATAACATCAGTAAACACACACACCAAACATGAAGAAACTTATCGATCATCAGGTCGAGTAGTTAAATATGGTGTGCCTCAAGGCAGTGTCTTGGGACCTCTATTGTTTATTATATATATCAATGACCTACCTAAAAGCATTAACCAATACGTGACACTATTTGCCGATGACAGTACCATAACTATACCTTATAAAAATAATGATACCTATAATAATGGCATTAATAATTCCCTAATATCAATGATAAAATGGCTAGAAAATAATAATTTAAAAATCAATTTGGAAAAAACTAATATTATGCACTTTACACAAAGAGGATCTACTATGTCAAACCTACATACACACTACAATAATAAAATGATTAATGAGGTAGATAATGCGAAGTTTCTTGGTGTAATTATTGACCAAAAAACTCAATTGGAAAACACACACAGAAGCCTTAATAAAAAAAAATCAGTAAATCCTCTTACGCATTCTACAAATTAGTATCAATGCTCGATATCGATGCCCTTCTCACAGCGTACCATGGTTTAGTTTCCTCCATTCTTAGATACGATACGGCATTATCTTTTGGGGTAACTCTACGAATAAAGAATTAGTATTTAAAGCCCAGAAGCAATGCATAAGGACCATTTTCAAACTAAAGGTCACGGAGAGCTGTAAACTATTTTTCATACAATATAAATTATTGACATTACCCTCACTTTATATTTTGGAAAGCGCAATCAATGTTCGTTAGAGCAATCCTAACCTATTCCCACGCATGTCTGATGCGGTCGTTCGTAATAGACGTGATAACAGTAAACTTCGTCCACATAAATCAAAAACTACTTTAATGAATAACAGCATATTTTGCATGGGCCCAAAAATATATAATAAAATTCCTAAACGCTGGAAAGAACATAATAGTAACATACTCAAAAATAAATTAAATAATTTCCTTGCAAATAAAGCCTACTACAATATTAATGGCTTTCTGCAAGACAACATTGACCACTAACTGCTATGACATATAATATCTACATTTATATAAATTATTACACATTATCTTACTGCTAATTGAACATAATAAAGTAGAATTCATAAAATAATCGAAAGTAATAATATACGAAATTGACTAATGTCAGTATGTAACACTAAGAATTGTACAATCATTTAGGTAAATAAAGGTATGTTTTTAAGTACAAGTATATTTAAATATATAGATTCTCTTCTCTAATGATGTTTGTTTTCTGTTTTAATGTTTATTGTATAATTTATTAATACTAAATAAGGCGAAGGCCAATTAGAATTGTAATTTTTTTATTTATTTTTTTAACATTTGTACGCCGTAGAGGCTAAACATGACTGTCGAGATATTTTCTTTTAACATCTTGCATGCATATGTATGTATACTCATGTTTGAACAAATAAAATTATCTTTATCTTTTAACATCAAAATGGAGAAAAATTAAATGAGAACTGTCTCTGTTTAAAAAATGTCTACCAAAGACATACACAGCGACCTGGTGAAATATTGAGGGACTCTGCTCCTTTCACAATTGCACGCTGGGCCAAGGAGGTTAAGCTGGGCTGAACATCCACGGAAGATGAATGCCCATCCACATCCCTCACTGAAGATAAAGTGATATCATATTGGCAGATCGAAGTGTGACCACCAGGCATATAGCTGAGGTCACAGGTATCTTATATGGCAGTGTTCAAAGAACCCTTGCGAACGAATTGCATATGAAAAGGATCTCTGCGCGTTGGGTACCGAGAATGTTAACCGACGAGTAAAACAAAAAATTTGTCGACATTTCGAGGGTGAATCTCGAAAGGTTCCAAGCAGATCAGATTTTTATAAGGTTTCGTGACCGTGGGCGAGACCTGGACCTACCATTTCGATCCTGAAACCAAACAACAATCAACGGTGTGATACTGAGTCTCCTCCCGACGCCAAAGAAATTCAAACTGTCAAGTTCGCCGGGAAAGGTTATCGCGTCAGTTTTTGGGGACGCTGAAAGAATAATTATGGTGAAATAATTGAAAAAGGGAGCCATTATTTTTGACTTATACTCTCGACTACGCAGGACAAATAAGAAGATTGCAGGAAGCTATCAAAGAAAAAGACGATGAGACGAGCTGGAGTGCTGTTTCACCAAGACAACGCTCTGCCTCACAAAGCCGCAGTTGCGATGGCTGCCATTCAAGAAACGGGATTTGAACTGTTCGAACACCCGCCCTATTCGCCTGATCTAGCTCCCAGTGACTTCTATCTATTTCCTCGGCTCAAGGAACACCTTTGAGGCAAGAAATTTGCAGACGATAGCGAAGTCATGGACGCTGTTGAGGCTTTTTTTGAGGATCAAAATAAAGATTTTTTTTAAGGGAATTCTGGGTTTAGAACAAAAATAGACTAAATGCATTGACTTGTTAGGAGATTATGTGGAAAAATAAATTATTTTTCTAACAATAATCCCCGTGTTTAATGTTGACTATCAATAATTACTTTTGGATCACCCCTCGTACTCACATCCTAAAAATAAAACCAAAGCGAAAAGTTGACTGAAATCGGAAAGGATGTTAAAAAACGACAGAGGTGGCTTCGCCCGCGTAGTAAGACAAAAAGATTATCAATAGAATCAGGCGTTACATTGCGAAAACCCATTATATTAAACACTATAGTAAAATTATTTTGTGCGTGCAGTTGGGGTCATAAATCATAGCTCGGCTTCAGCCCGGCTAGGGCGGAAGCATGTTGCGAGGGCGCAACGCTATTATTGGTAACAACAAATTTAATTTTAGATATAAGTTATTATCTTTATATTTATTTTTAATATAAGTTGTTAGATGCAAAACATTTCTACTTATAGTTTTTTAATAGATAGATAACTAATTAATAATTTATTTAAAATTATTATTATTATTATGTTAATAAATACGTTGTTTTATCTAATTATTTTTTTTTCATTTTTATCACGCCCACATAATGACAAAACTAAATACACTATCAATAACGCTTATCGACAACAATAATGCGCATCGCTATGCTCGCCCATAAAGCCCGTGAGTGTGAGAGAGAGCGAAATACTCCGATAACTTATGACCCAAATTGCACGCACAAAATAATTCTAGTATAGCTGATAACCGCTCGCTTCGCTAGGCGCAAGATTTTATTGCAGAACCGAGATGTGACTAAAGTAATTAAGAGCAAAATTTGTATGTATAGTACATCTCCAACTACATGATGCAAGAGGAATTTGTGGTGGTTTTTTTTTATTTTTTGATACAGGTTTTTTAACATAAATTCATTTACCTATGTCATCGTCATCTTTTTTACTCTTTGAACCAAATGCAATTAGCGGCAAGTCGTCATCCAAATCCGTATGTCTATCTTCAAAAGCATCAATCCCCAAATCTTCTTGTTTTTCAGCACTCTCTAGAATGAAACAGATTCTGACTCAATATATAAAATAATTACTGATATTTTTTTCAAGCGACTAGATCATTACAGTCCACCACAAAGCTTATGGGCCTGAGCCACCCACTTTCATTACCATACTGCATGTTTTATAAGCTAAGTGTAAGAAGCTGAAGTGGCAATGGGCCGCAGAACTGACAACCGAAGGGGAAGAGAGGTTCTCGAGTGGCAACCTCGTACTGGTAGATGTAGTGTAGGGCGGCCCCCACTAGATGGAGTGACGACCTGGTAAGACATGCAGGAAGTCGATGGATGCAGGTGGCTAAGGCCCGTGCTTTGTGGCATTCCTAAAGAAATTGGCAAAGACAGGTTGCTTACCAGTTGTAAGTATATCATTAATTCCCATGAAATTAATCCATCTTAGTGACATACATACTGGCTGCATTTATACAGGATCAAAATATTTTTAAAATATATTAATGCATAAGTAAAAAAAATGTCTAAAGAAGCTCATTATTTTACATTGACAATCATGCCTAGCGCAAAACGCGTAGGTATGTTCTACTAGCGCCTAAAAATCAAGATTCCAATGTTTTGTCGCATAAAATCGCATCTAACAATTATATTGAACATATAAATGATATAAAAACCACATTGTCAGAAAGATAAATGATTGTTGGACTTATTAATTTTTTTTTAAATCGATTAATTGCTATTTTTACATAAAAAAGTGGTTTTAGTGGCTTATGGTGCAGATTTATCAAGTCCGCATTTTTTTATAGGATAGAATAACAAACGAGCACACAGTCAGCCTGATGGTAAGTGGTTGCTGTGACCCATAGACATCTACATTTATCCTCAATGAAGAATCAAAATGCAGATGCGTTGTCACCCGTGAGGACTAAGATGGAATGCCTTTATTCCAGTAAAATGGGTCTCTGGTTCTCTACACTCACCATCCGAAACACAGCAGCGTCAAGCTGCCATTTTACGCTGGTATTCTGTGAGAGCGTGGTCCTTCCCCTGTTAAGCCGACCCCTGCGTGCTACAATTATACTACTAAATACTAATATAGCTGCAGTATGGCTCTACGGTTTTGAAAATATTAATTGTTTAACTCTATCTATTTTTTAATCTGTTAGCTGAATAATTCTATTTTGTTTAGTTATAATTAATTTTTTTATTGAGTAACTTTTAATAATACCTGCAAAATGCCAAACGAATTTAGCGGTTTTAAACAACTCCCAGACGTGAATAAAGTTTACAAATGAATACGACAAAAAAGTCTTCTTATGCGTAGCCATAAGTGTCAGAAAGATAGCTTATCGAAGCATGCCGACAGCGGATGGGGGCCTGAGCTCCTCGCGCTGCGCTTGGTTATTAAGAAATATTTTTTTAAAGATTTTACGATTAAATTCTTGTTTTGGTATTTAGCATGTATGTATGCGCATATACGACCATGTAAATATCTGTGTATACAGTTTGAATGATTTAAGATCAATGCTGTAATAATTTGTAAGATAGCTATTAATTTTAACCTCGTATTAATAGTAACCTTGGGAAAAATATGTCTTGATAATTACGTTAAGCATACTTGTGTGTATTTAAGCTACTTTAAAAAAAATCCGTATAATCATGTCATACGTAATTTTTTTAATGCGCTTAGGGCATGCATAATTGGATTTACCAATAGTTTTTATTTAAACTAACAACTATCATGAGAGGAATAACCTAATACGACTGTGTAGTTCTTCTCATGCATAGCAAAATGTGGTCATTAACTGTAACAAATTGTAAACAATCTTACCCTAGTGAATTCACTCAAGGTGCAACAGAATAGATCACTGTCTTCAGCCATTCTATTAAGAACGCGTAACATTCGCGTTAAAGGCGCCTTGTCGAGTAAATTGGTACCCGTCAGGAACACATGGCCTAATCCGCGCCAATATGCCACTATAATATTATTTTGTGTCCATGGACTACAGTAACCACTTGCCATTAGGTAACTTGTACCTTATTTTAACAATATCACAAAATGTGCATATCTTACCTATTTCATGATTCCCATTTTCTTCAAATTTGGAATTCTCATTTTCTAAATTCTCTTCTTCAACTTTAACAGATTCAAGGCTGAACATTTCGTTCTGACAATCATTATCTAGATCACACTCTACTGGCCTGATATCTATATGACTAATTGGTGTGAACTGAATCTTATCTCTAGCCTCATGATGATTTGGTATTGACTGAAACCAAATTCTTTTGTTAATAAGAGATAAAGCCAGTGTAGTGTTGCCGTAGGAGAATCCATTCTACCATACCATCCCGCAGATGTCATAAAAAGGGACAGAGGGAAACTGAAACAGGAGACTGGACAAAGTGAGGGTTCCAAATAAACTTACATAAGAATATATATAGTTCATCCATCCCGAGTATCGAGTCTCAACAATATTTCCAATCAGATTCACAAATGCAGTTAAGTGACAATGATCTATCTTTGTTTACTGAGTAATATTACATGCCATCAAAAATATAACTTGTAAAAAAAACCAAGTCTTGCAACTCAGTTCTGCTACCGTAAAAAGTTGTGAGATCCATGTAATACCAAGTCGGTTAATTTATTCAGTCCCTACTTAAGGGTCCTTCTATCTTAAGTTATTACGTAATTAGCTAACTTAACAACGTCTTATAGTGAGCACATCAGTACTAAAACCTTTTATATTTTAAATAAATAGATTGACTTGCATACCACTGCAAGACTTCAAGACACAGGTAGTATATTCTGCGTATATCGGACCAAAATTATTAATTAAAAAAGCTGAAGGTACTCCGGTTTAACTCTGACATCAGGACGTCAATCACCTCAGTCCCCCGTGACCACGGTTGCTGGAAAGCAACCGAAACGTCGGGAATAGGAAATAAGTTAATTAAACGCGATAAAATCCGTAAAAATAGTTTTATTCAATCTGTAGTGTTCGCATAAATATAAGAAATCATCACTGTAATTCGTAAAATATAGAACATTGCTCTAACGAAAAAGTAAGTTGGATTGAAGGATAAACTTAACTTTGCAGTAGAAAAAACATTCTCCCATATGGAAACGCCAAGTGATGATTAAGGCAAATACTTCATTATAATAGGGATGAACCATCAGGCAGTGAACTTTTATTAATAACAGGTATAATACCGTGGACCGTGTAGTGGCGGTGTAAGAATATCCACTGCCCTACTGGCGACAGAGGGAAACAGAAACAGGAGTTGGGCGGCAGCATCTTCCTGACAACAACTCAGACTAATATAAACTGCGGTTGCCAACCTACCAAGTGTGGCAAATATCCCTCGCAAAAAGCAATCTATGAGGGACTTTTATAGGTTTTAATGGATGGAACGGATAATACCATAGACCCTCCTGCAAGCAACTGCTCCAGAACTGCATTTGACTCAATAGCCTGTTGTTGTAATGTTCTGCAACGAATGAGTCTTGCATGACAGATGAAACAGACAATTATGACCTCCTCATCCACATCCACCTGAAAATATGAAATTTCGTCATAAAAATGGAAAACTACTTAAATATACAAGTTTGTAATAAAATCTATTGGCTACCAGAATTCTCTTCATCAACATCATTTTTTTATAACATTAAAGTGACAAATAAACTCACAATCCACCTGATGGTAAGTGGCAACTGCAGCCCATAGGCACCTGCAACAAACTTCAAGCAAAGGCTACAGATGCAATGTTACCTCCGAGGACTAAGATGTAATGCTTCACAGCGTGTTATTATACTGGCTCTCAATGTCCTTCACACCGGGACACATACTGCTGCTGGTGGCACAAATAGGTACGAGGATGATAACTACCCAGCCAGACTCCTAGGCAGAACAAAGTCCTGCCACCTAGTGAATCATCATCACTGCAACAACATAGTCCTAAGCCACCTACATCCATCGACTTCTTGTCTTACCAGATTGCCACTATCTAGTGGGCGGCCACTCTACAATTTGCTTACCAGTTGAGGCTACCACTCGAGAATTATGTTTTCCCATCTGTTGATAGTCCTGCTAGCTATTAGCCGAGTGCAGAAAGTTTGCCTATTACTACCCCTCTCGCTTCCACCGACCGTGCCCCGTGCTCGCTTAGTAAGTACTGTTAACAACGCAGTTGTGCGCTCACTTGTGCAACATCTTTGAATTTATTACTCCCACTCCGAAATTATTCATTGTTTTCTTGTAAAGTATTACTAATCATTGATAAGTGATGACATGATGTCATCAGCAAACTTCCTCACGCTGATAATATAATATGTACACAATTCTCAAATTAATTTAAAAGGAGTGTCAAGCACGTAGTAGTGTGCATGACATTAACAGATATAATTTTAAAAGCAGTAGATTCAGACTCTTGGGTATTTTCAAGTTAAAGCTTAGCTTAGTGGCATCACTTAAAATTGACTAAAGCTGAGTCACCTAATAACTCACCCACTTTAGCTAAAGAGTTGTTAAAGTATGGAACAAACTGCTATCAAAAGTAATATTAGTACAAACAATAAACTGATTGTACCACAGATTGGATAAATTTACAACATGGTAGCGCCATACTGCAGCTATATTAATAGTACAATTGTAGCATGAATGGGTCGCCTCGACCGGTGAAGGACCATGCTCTCACAGAATACCTGCGTAAAATAGCAGTTTAACACTGTTGTGTTTCATATGGTGAGTGTAGAGACCCGGAGACCCTTTTTACTGGAAAAGAGACATTCCAACTTAGTCCTCACGGGTGATGACGCATCTGCATTTTGATTCGCAAACGAGGATAAATGTAGATGTCTATGGGTCACAGCAACCACTTACCATCAGGTGGACTGTGTGCTCTTTTGTCACCCTATTCCTATAAAAAAATAGAACAACTAGAGATTTGAAACCAAGATACAGAGTTATATCAACTGCTGGCTGGCTCAATATTTTTTATACAAGGGTGACGACAAATCAAACAGTCCACCTAATTCTAAGTGCATTCACTTACCATCAGGTTGACTGTTTGATTTGTCATTCGCTATGGCCTATAGAACTCCACATTGATCCCCAGTAAAGAATCAAAATGCAGATGTGTTGTCACCCCTGAGACCAACACTGAATGCCTCAAATCTAGTAAAAATGGTCTCCAATGCTCTACACTCACCATATAAAACAGAGCAGAACTAAGCTGCTATTTTACTTTAGTAATCTGTGAATACGGTACCACCCCGGTCTAGCGGAACCACCTGTGATACAACCATAATATAGCTGCAGCATGGCTCTACCACATATAAAATAATGATAATAATGTTGTACAAACAGAATTTCGGTCACAATAGAGCCTATTCATCAGCGCAGGACAGGATTACATTGCATAATATGTGTGTTAGCAAGCACATATGCACATTATTCCCTTCTCCAATTTCTCAGTCTGATAGGAATATTAGAAATATAAGAGTGAGAAAATTTCTGTCTGTAAGCACATGTGCACTCTAATCTCCCACTTTAATAGTCAATAGAACGGCTTTAAGTGGGTGAAAGAGCAAACTAGGGTGGATATTAATTTTTTGACGGAAAATAACAGACACCACGAATAAATCTATGCAGCAGTGCGGGTTGCATTGAAGGATGCACAAAGTTCCTGTTTATGGCGCAGACTCGGTAAGTTTGAGCCCGCGGTTACTTCAATGATTATACTGATTTTAGTGCGATCCAGGATCCAGGCTAATTGTTGTTTTTCAGGTTCTGGTTGTATTTGTCACTATATATACTATTTATGTTATATACACTATATATGTTATAATATATTTCTCCAGCGATAACCCCTCTTTAAAGTATTTCTCGATGAAGTACATTCAATTTGCAATGTTAAGAAATATTTACAAACTTACAAAACCATTCGTCAATGTTTTGTACAAATTTTCGAGACCAGTCTTCTTTAGTACATACATGCGTACATTATCGCATAAACAAATTCTACAAATTTCACTAAAATAGGTCATTTCTATTTCCAATAACTTTAATCACAAACTAATAAGCAATGAGTAGAATTAATTTTCTGTATATTATACTCATAGAACACTAATACTCTTTGAAGTTTGAAGCTTTGAAGTAGGCATGGGTAAAAAATATCAATATACCGTAATATCGATATTTTTTAATATATATATCGATATAAATTGTCGAAATTTTAAATCGCGATATATCGACATATCGATATTTATTTTAGGGTATCGAATTCGTATCAATTTCGATATATTTTAAATGTTGTATCGTTTTTTTCGTTGTCCAACCGTTGGTAGATAAAATTTTGGACATTATCTTTAAATCATTCAAATGATGACGATATCATCATCATCATTACAGCCCTTAACATAGGCCTCCCCCAAAGAATGCCACAAAGCACGGTCCTGAGCCACCTGCATCCATCGACTTCCTGCAAATCTTACCAGGTCGTCACTCCATCTAGTGGGAAAACGCCCTACACTTCGCCTGCCGGTACGAGGCTGCCACTCGAGAACCTTTCTTTCCTTTGATGACGATATATCGATATTAATTACGCGATTATATCGATACTGTTTAAAAATATAGATTCGATATATATCGATATATTTCCCTTTGCCCATCTCTAGTTTGAAGTAAATATTGCGAACCGCTTGTGATTAGAGATGGAAAAAATAATCGATTTTAATATTAATCGATTTTTTTCATGTTATCGATTTTGTAAAGACGATTTTTTGATAATAAAAATCGATTTTTAATAAATCGATTATGAAAATTAAGCGTTTTAATCGATTTTTGTAATCAGCGTCATCTGTGCGATGGATGTAAAAACGTAAAGTTCAATATCATGAATAAGTCGATCAAGAGAATAAAGTCATCTGTGCGACAGATGAAAAAACGAGAAGTAAGTTCATTAACATGAACAAGTCGATCAATAGACAGCGCCACCTGTATGTATCTCTATGTATGTAAAATAGTTTCACCTTTCGTATGTTTTCAACCGTTTTCTTTCTCCGTTATGAGTAAAAGTATTATGTGGTTTTCTTTATTTCTTTGGAGAGTGTAAATAATTGTTAAGCAATAAAAATGTCTTGTAAAACACTCTTAAAGTGGCTGACGGAAGTATTTTGTAATGAAAATATAATAGCGGCCAACACGTCAATCAGCAAAAATACTGAATCGAACCTATATATTGTGGCTCCATTATCAAATCTCAAGGCAGATGCCCTCAATATATGCAGAAGCTCTAAAGGAATGGAGTTGTTATAAACTAATTTGCTTAATTCTATGACAACCACATTATAATGGATTTCGGTGAAGTAACGCCTGATTCTATTAATAAGCTCTGAAGGAACTTTCCCTAAACTAACCGAATTGGTTCTTAAACATCTCTTTGTGATGGCCAGATCCACGCCAGCTAAAAGATTATTTTCGAAAGCGGGAAATTTTGTCAGGAAAAAACGAAACTGTATTTTACAAAACAGACGAAGAAGAATGTTGGTAAAATTATTGTTTTTAAACTCTTTAACTGAAAATTCGTGACAGTATATTTATTTTTACTTTTTTTTACACAAGTTAAAAAAGATTTGTCTTGTATTTTAGTTTTGAGATCAAAAGGTTGTCGTTTGATTATGTATAATTATATTTTTATTTTGTTTTCATTCTAGTCCAATGTAAGTGATACTAAACATTAGTGGCAATAATTATTTATAGTTTTCTGTTCAAAATTAAAGTTTAAAAAAAGATTTATTTTGTATTTTAGTTTTGACAAAAAATTGGTTGTCGTTTGAATATTTAAATTTATAGTTTTATTTTATTTTGATTCTAATCCAATGTCAATGGTACTGAACATTTGTGGCAATAATGATATTTAGATTTTTTGTTTGTTCAAACTTACTTTCAAAAACTACCGTTTACTAAACTTATCATTTCTTTTTATTTTGGTTTTAATAAATTGTTAAATAACATGTATATAGTAGCAGTAATTATTTTTAGTTTTTTATTGTTTAAAGTTATTAGTTAAAAAAATTGTTTTGTAGTTTAGTTTTGAAACCAGAATATTGTCGTTCTGATTAGTTTTTTTTATAGGATAAGGTGACAAACGAGCACACAGTCCACCTGATGGTAAGTGGTTGCTGTGACCCATAGACATCAACATTTATCCTCAATAAAGAATGAAAATGCAGATGCGTCATCACCCGTGAGGACTAAGATGGAATGCCTCTTTTGCAGTAAAATGGGTCTCCGGTTCTCTACATTCACCATACGAAACACAGCAGTGTCAAGCTGCTATTTTACGCCGGTATTCTGTGAGAGCGTGGTCCTTCCCGGTCGAGCCGACCCATTCGTGCTACAACTATACCACTACTACTACTAATATAGCTGCAGCATGGCTGGGATCCTTACTACCACGGATCCCAATACGGGCCCTACAACTACTGAGCATACGACCAGATGAGGGATATTGTGGCGGCAAACTTCACCAACGGCCCCGACCCCCTAAGCACCCACGCGAAATCCATCACCCATTAACATCGCATACAAACAATCGTCCTCCATTCCGTCTTCGTTGGGTACATACAACTCCCACCGTAAAATCATACGACCCAAGCTCGGCGACAAGAAAGTCTACCGCCCAGTCAGAAGGCACACGCTTTCGAGGATAGAAGAAACGCCCCCGCAGTAGTTGAGGCCTCGATCCAATAACTTGCAGATTTCCACGGACTTCTGAACTACCAGGCCGATGCTGAGGTCCCGTTCCAATATATCGGCCGACATGAGCCGAACCGTCCCCGTCTGTGATCAAAGCCATGATACGGAGAATCAAATCGAATGCAGCAGTCTGCAGTACGCGGAGCCGAACGGTTACGTATAAAACTTACACACCACGTATAAAATTTATTTAAATTATTCTTTAAACTTATCATTTTATTTGATTTTTATTCTGATAAGTTGTAGCATACTTATCTCGTGGTTTTATAAATATATAGCAAAGCAAGCATTTTTCGAATAAAAGAAATATTTTCGCAAATAGCGATTATTTCTTTTAATAAAAATCGATTTTTCCAAAATCGATTAATATCACAAAGAAAATTATCGGTTTATTAGTAATCGATTTTTTTCACTCAATGTCACATCCGTACTTGTGATTGTGAGATGTGAGCTAGGGATGTCGATGATCATCGATGTTAAAAATTAAAACATCGATGTTATAACATCGATTTTGACACATGTCAAACATCGAAACATCGATGTCAATGAACCCATAATCGATTATTGGGAACTTGCGAACAATGCGAACCCGCGAAATAAATATCAACTTAATCATGCATCTCCTCCTGAACGAATCGCTAACTTAAAACAATATCATTACGGTGTGTTAAACTTAATTTTTAAGTGTCACCTGTAATGTCACAGTGGTCACTGCTTTTGCTTTATTTTGTAGTATCGTTGTCGGTTGTCGCATAATAACTATTTTACGCAAATTGATATTCAAGTTAATTGTTACGTTTCCCTTGCTGTGTATACCCACATAATTTAATTTTGAAACAATATGTAAGTATCTATACATAATTACATATACAAAAAATATCGATAATGGTCAACATCGATGTTTTGAGTAGGCTAAACATCGAACATCGATGTTGAGCTATCGATGCCAAAATCGATGTCATCATCGATGTTTCTGCAACATCGATCATCCCTAATGTGAGTTTGTGATTTTATCACTGAACAGATTTTTTTTAACTGGCTCATAGATAAATAAATATGTAGCAAGTTACGTATCTTGGAGCATAGAGTAGATAAATTAAAGACTATCTCAAAACAATAACTAAAGCATAGAAGTAGGTAGTACTAGATTATTAAAACGTACACTGTCATAGACCAAAGAGTATTAACTAGTGATGTGCCAGTATTAATGCCGATATCGGTACTGGTATTTTTGTCTATGGTAATCATGAAAGCGTGGAATCATATCCTCAGATTTGTTTATTGTGATTGTATATTGTGTCTGTGATTTTCAAAGTTTGATATCTCTACATGACTATCATCATTATACTAAGGTGGCGCGGCGGGCAGGGCCGTAATTTCCGTAGCGTTCGAATTTTTAATTTTTTTTTAACCAAACTACTGAAAAACATCGAGCGCTAGTGAATCTCGGCCCCGCAACCTTAATAAAAATTACAGAGTACTTTTTGTACAAATTGGAAATAGTGCGATTAATCAATACAACAATAAAATTAAAAAAAATATATTTTTTTTATTATTTCTCACAAATTCTATATACAACATATTATAAAACATAATAAACAAATAAATTGTTGTCCTTTAAAAATAATTGTTTTATTTAAAAATGTCCTAATTTTTTTCTTTCGGAGCTGAAAACTTTTTGTTAATGTAGTGAATCCTATTTTTTAAAACTCTTTGCTGATCAACTTTATTAACAAGTTTTTATGATCGTAAAGTTAATCATTGTCAAACAAATGCTCGTCTAAATCACTGAATATAGATGTTGGCAATATTATTTGCGATATTTTTTAATCATTATTAAAATATATTTAGGCTGTCCCAAGAACTTGGAGCCTATTCTAATTTCAAACTCGCGCAGTATTTTTTCTGCAGTTTTACACACCTTTTTAACACCTTCCGAAGGTTTAGTCAGGCCTCCTCTCTCTTTAATAGATATCAAAGAAAACGGATTCTCAGCACTGTCATTTTCCAAACTTTGGAGGCATTTTTCACATATGACTTCCTTTTTTATTTTTCTGACAAGCTATATAATGTACTACGTGTTGTGCGTATTCTGTTAAATTTGAGGCACGTAAAATATAATCATGGTCAGAATAATTCTCGGAATTAATGTTCACATCAGGCAAGTCAATTAGTCTACCATTTCCAGTAGATGAATTAAATAATTGTTTATATTTTTGATTATTGTAATTTAACATAGTTATATTTTCTAGAGGAAGACAATTTCCTGTTGAACCATCTGCTAGCTCTGCATGTACCAGCAACCATTTATAAGCAGCCCTGTACATTTTTGCCGATGGGTTATTATTAAAACCACATTT